ATTCTGTTACTTGGTCTTTTATTGGGGTGGGTTTTGTGCTTTTTTCATTTCATGTGAACCCCCACGGTCACACTTGCCAATCAATCAGAATTTGACCCAAGAACAACTGAGCTGTTGGGTTTTTAGAGTACAGCACATTTAGTAATTGAATCGTGTCAGAAGCATTTCTTAAAAGCAGAATGAAGTGACTCAGTAACAAGATCAATACCAATCTCATGCAAGTTCAGAGATGAAGTCAGGATGTGGATCGCTTAGCTTTGCTTTCCTTTTCTTGAGTTTTGTTTTGATGTTTTGAGGCACACATCCAAAACTCTCAGAGGGAGAAGACAATGTCAGGTCCGAATGGTCCAACCGAGAGCCAGGACTTCACTAACTAGGCAGTTCAACAATGAATAAATGGACGAATGATGAATGAAAGCTCTGGAGCTCAGATAAAAACAAATGATAACAGAAAGGGAGAGAGAAGCCAGGTTGGAGAGACAGAAAGAAAACAAAGAGAGACAACATCAGTGAGCAGGCGACATGGTTTTTATAGTTATTATATTTCATCTAAGGACTTTGTTTGAAAGGGGTCATGAGAAGAACAAGAAAAGGTAGGAGGAATGCAGTGGTGCAGTAGACTAGTGATGTGTTTGCCTGAAATCTTCAGCAACACACCTGCATGATGATCTGCAGGAGAAGCTACACAATCTTGGCTGATTAGCTTGTGTGTCGTCTGATGCAGACATGATGTCATAAAACACGTTATGAGTGGAAGCATGCCAAGAGAGTGAGATTCATGAGAATGTAAAAACAAAACAAAAGGTCAGGTTTCCAACTAATCATGCAATCCACTGGGGCCCTGTCTGAGCTTGAGACATCGTTTACTGTTTCTTTTTCCACCTTTCCTTAAATGTAATTAACAAGAAGTCGGAATCATATAAAACACATCATATAAAGGCAAAAGAAAATCTTCTTCTCATTATGATTACATACATACATGAACGTGATCTTTTAAAAACATCTCTTATAGTAGCATCATGTATATCAGGCGCATCATCATATCTGTATTCGCCATATTTCCCCGTCATCATGCTAGCTTTCCCATTTCACACAGCATCTGTAGCTCACGCTTGCCCTCTCCCTAGAGACTCTGATATCAGCCAGAGTAGAGGCCAGTGGCATATGTGATTGATGACCCAGAGAATCTAAAAGAGAGATGGACAGATTCCTTTTATCAGGTCTGAGATCTGACTAGATTAAAACGCAGTTCTACATCACCTCCTCCCCCTTTTTGGCATTCCCTTAGCATCCACAATCCATCCCTTGTCAGTCACCTCACTTGATGACTGAAAGTTTGTCCCATCCCCTTCTCTGACCTCTCATCATGCCTCTCTGCTCAAAGGGAAGGGGTGTGCATATGGCAGATTGTGCAAGACTTTAAACAGTCACTTCTAATTGAGTTGAGGTCTGCAAGACAAGTCTCATAGGAGCATTCCTCACACCATTTGTACAAAGCCGCCTGGTTAAAGGGAAAAAAAGCATGAAATATGTTGAAACATGAATCACAAGCCAGCCTCTGCAACTCCCAATTTTTTCACAATCAACCTGTGAAAAAAATGTGCAGATTGAAGAAGGGAAAATCTTGTGTGCTGATTAAAAGAAAAGAGACAATCACCCTCATTCACGGGCATGCAGCTGCCTCATTGTCAGACGGCAGAGTGGGAGATTTTTGTAGAGGTGCTGAAAAGACGCCTCAGTGAAAAGGACCTGCGTTTGTTTTTCAGATGCCTTAATGACTATATGTGATTAACACAAATTATCTCACTTATCGCAGCTCAACAGGCTTTCATAGACAATCTCTGGGTGCATTCTCCACAGTGCTGCTTAACATGCATTTAATCAGACTCAGCAATGACCGGATCGCTCATACTCAGTTTTAGATTGTCATTCAAAAGAATACAGAATTATGGAGTCGCAGAATGTACACCTTAAAACATCAGAGAACATCTGTTCATGTGACCCACACAGCTAAAAATAGGTCCAACATAGACTGTAAAAAGAGACTGGACATTACCGTTTCCCATATTTTCCACTTTGATGTTGATTCTTTTTTAAAATAGCTTGTAATTGTTCTGACTAATGAGACTGATGGTCCTCCAGTTTAAACCAGGAAAAAGAGAAAAAGGTTTAAAAAGCAGTGTACTTCCTGGAAAAATGTAATTTTTAGTGTGTTTTAGTAAAACTGAATGCTGAAACAAACAGCACCCAGCTGTCACACAAAGACGCTGTTATATAATTTGCAGTCTTAGGTTTTGTTCTTCCATCTGGCAGACACAAGGTTGCAATCAAAAACATTACAAAAGGATAAATGCTATTTAACACGCCACAGTTAAATCCTCCTTTCGCGTAGCTTGATTTGACTCGGCATGGCCCTTAACATCAGCATTTTATATTAAAGAATCTCAAAATGCAGCAACACAACTCTTGTCAGTCAAATAAATTAATAAATAAACAGAGAATATTCATACTTGTCATACTAACAAACCACCCTGCTCGATCACAGACTTGTCTCATCTTTTTACTCTTGACAGTCATATCATTACAGCAGTCATTATAACATTAAGATTATTGTAGCAGTGAAATATGCAATGATCTTTTTCATTTAGCTAGATGTATCGCTTTTCCATCGAAGGTGGCAAAGCTCAACATTGTCCGTCACTCGTGTGTTTTTAACAGTTTCTATGCAACCCTGCAGTTCTTCAGCACAGAGGAGTGAGATGCACACACTTGTTGGTAGGGCACATTCATTTGTATCCTGGACTTTTCATTCAATTTGTTGGCAATAATATGAAAATATATAATATAAAATAATGTATTAGCACCACTGAGAGTCTGTTCTTTAGCCTGGACCACAGAGAATTTCTAAACATGCCATTATATGAGGTCCCAATTCCAAATCCTTTCCAATCAACATCTGTTAGTGAGTTTATAGATTTTGTTTTTAATCACACTGAACCTGCAGAGCCATCTGTGAGGTGAGCCAACCAGCTTACGTTTAAGCTGCTGCTGTCTCTCTGGACCAACCGCAATGTGACCCTGTGACCTCTGCAGGCACAGAGAGGTCAACAAGTCACAGACGACAGTCCGGAACTCACTGTGGGGGCCTTTTTTACCCTGATGAGGGTTGCATGGTTATAGAGTGCTTGTTGGTCTTCAGAGAAATGTAAAACTGCCCTAGAGAAAACAGAGGATGGAGATGAAAAAAAAAATGTTTTGTTCTGCAGCTGAAAGAAAAAGAAAACAGACGAACGCGCTCGGACAGGAGGTCAGTGAGTGCAAAATATCTGTCAAACATGGGAAAATTTTTATCTGCTGAATGACTATGAAACTACATTAGATTAACTTCAAATGCTGTAATCTAATGTGGGGGTGAAGCACCATTTCTTTCCCTCTCTTCATATGTACTGGGGCATTATTGTGGAACGCTGGGACACATAAAGTGTCTATTGTGTTGTATATGGTATATATTGTAGTATATATATATTATACCATGATGTAAACATTTGCACATTTTAACAAACAGGAGAGTTATGGTTCGAGCCAGCCTCAAGTGGACATTAGAGGAACTGATGTAGAGGACATAAGCCATAATGTACTCAGAGTGTAGCCCTGATAAATGGAGTTGCGCGAGGAACGGCATCCAAAATAAAATCTTTGCCAAATCAAGCATGTGGATCATAAAGATTGAGATTTTCATACCGTATCGGTTGGGGCCCACATTAGCAATGACCACCTTCAGTGCTGCTGACCAAAAGTCAGAAGAGTGGAGGTGAGAGCAGTGACTTTAAATGTTGGGACTATGATGGGTTAAGGGAGAGAGCTGGCTGATATGGTGAAGAGAAGGAAGGTTTTTGTTGTGTGTGTGAGACACAAGAACAGAATGATCACAGCAAGAGTGAACAGGAAGATTTTCAAGATTTCAGTGAGAGCTGCTAGCATGTATGGTTTAAAGATGGTGGCACTGACACAAAGACATAAAGCGGAGCCGGAGGTGGTGGGGCTGAAGATGTTAAGGTGTTCCCTGGGAGTGACCAGGATGGACAAGATCAGAAATCGATACATATCAGAGGGACAGCTCAGATTGGGAGCATTAGAGACAAAATTAAAGTTGAGTTGCAGAAGCAAGATAAAGGACATTTTGGTCAAAAGTAGAATATGATGGAAGACAACAGGGAGAATTCATGCATGTGGTGAAGGGGGCATGCAGAGGTGCAGGTGTGTGACCCTTAAAGGGAGCAGCTGAAAAAATAGTGCTTATAATGCTTAAGAGAAGATTTGACTTTAAACATATATATTTATCTATCTATCTATCTATCTATCTATCTATCTATCTATCTATCTATCTATCTATCTATCTATCTATCTATCTATCTATCTAT